CTGCTGCCTGTGCAGGAAGGGGCAGAGGCGGCCGCCACAACGTTTCGGGGGACGGCGGCCCCCCAGGCCACGCCTACGGGCAGCGGCAGTTCCAAGAAGAAGATGAGGAACCAGCAGGGGTCCGTGTCCGCAACAGTTCGCTATCATTTTTCTCATTTTTTATAAACTCCTCTGGAGTTCTTGTGCTGCGCACGTAAGGGGGAGGCAGCAGAAGCAATTTGAGTGAGGTGTTGTGTTTCAGGCTGGAGTGAGGCCTTCATCCTCTCCTTACTTGCACCAGAAGGACCTCTCGAGGTGTCTAATCAGCTTAGAAGGTGCAACACTCGAAAGATTCAGGCTTGCATGCACCCTAAACACTAAACACTGCAGCCTTACTTCCTTTTTATTTACTTAAAATTATTTATTTCATCAGGATTTATCTGTCTGCTGGCCGCTGTGTCCTGTTTTGTGTGTTTCGTGTTATAGGGAAGAGCTATGGCGCGTATAAGGATCTGATAGGGTGTTGGGAAGTGAACGAATTCACATTATATCTTGACAAGTGGGCTGCATTCAGAATATGTTGTGCCACTATCCAAGTTTTTTCATTAACTGCTGGCCTTTAGTCTTGAAGTAGAAGTGAATTAGAGCCAAATTCATCTATGCAAGTTTTTTCATTAACTGCTGACGCTTAGTCTTGGGGTAGAAGTGAATTGGAGCCAAATTCATCTTTTTTGCGCGCGTCTTGCCTCAGAGTTCAGTCGGACCCGTTTGCGCCTCCGAGTCGGTTTAGGCTGCGGCTTCCGCAGGCCCACGCCCAGTGAGTGTGCATCATGTGAGATGATTGAAAAGTGTTTGTTCGCTGCCTTTTGTTTTATCTGCACAGCGCAGCTCTGTGGTGTCTATGCACTCCTGCGTTTGTGCAGGTTTCCACCTCATTTATATTCCTCTTATATTCGAAACGTCGCACTCTGTGATTTCCTCACCCGCAAATTCTTTGAAACAATTTCACGAGGGGGGATTGTTGGCCCTGAGGACGGGGCCCACCATGGCGGCTGGCATGATAGCAAGGTCTGCGGCTGTGCACATCTGTGCGATTTGGGGGGGAGCTGCTGTTTAAAGGCCTTTGGAAGCACTGCGTGCTGCTGTTCTCTCCATGGTTTAGGGTTTGAAGTTCAGGATGTTTGAGCGCTGGGGCAGTCAAGTGGAGCAGTGGCTGCAACTGTGTTCTGCCTCCTAACGCTGATCTGCTCCTCATTTTGCCTGTTTAGATTTTGGCTCTTCTAGTTTGTCTTTGTTGTGGTTTTAGCCCGATACAATACGCATTGACAAGCCCGGTCAGTACGTCTTCCCAAGGTCTTCAATGGTTGTCAATTCTGAATATGTAGAGGCTCGCTGCACCATTGGACTGCCTGTAAGCTTACTTTCTCCATTTGAACAGTTAAAAGGTTTAGTGTGGCTCAATTTCGAGAATTAGTTTGGAAACATGTATTTGTAACAAATAAATATTGCAGAAGCTCCTCATGCCGTCGTAATCCCTATTTTGAGAATCGCATTTGACAACATGGATAGCCCGTAGCTACGTTACTAGGCAGACGCTGACTACATTTGTTTCTTTTCAAGCTCTTTTTCTGCAGGCCCGAGGCCGTCGGATCGAAGGGCGAAGAGCCGCCACCCTCCTGTGCAGCAAATTGCCCGAGCTGGTTCGCAGCGTGATGCACTATTCCAGCTTAGACGCTGGGGCTCTGAAACGCCACGTGGAATGCGTAGAAGACCAGGAATGTACGTGAAATAGACGGGTTCTCTTTGCCTTTGCTCGTGGCTGGCGCCGACATGGAGGCAGAAGTGAAGCGCTTGCCCCATGTTAGTGAGATCCCTTGTTCGTGTTTTCAGCTTTGCGGTCACAACTACGCGGACGCAATTTGAGCGCCTTCGTGGCAAATGGAGCCTGCTTGCCTCGCCGCAGTGGCGTTGAGGATACCCCTATGACTAGACAACAAGTACGCAGGCTGTCTAGGTTTGCCCGAGGTGGCGATCTATTCTTGCTGGATCCCTGCGGTACCTCGGGCTACAGCCCTTCACTCTGCTTGTCTCCTCGGATTTGCCACTTGTCCACTGAATTTGGGGCATCTCAACCTGAAGGATTCTGCCTTAAAACTGTCTTTGTTTGTTTCATAGGAGCCGAATTTAGTCCTATTCCAGTCTCCGCCCGACTTAGAATGCGAGTTCACGCTTCCCAACTCTGGAACAAGTGAGATGTACATCATGTAAATCTCTTGATTGCATAATTGCGGCATTTTTTATACACGTTTGCCAGTGCCGTCATACAGAGCTGCGTGAGTGCATTCACGTGAACAGAACATCGTGAATGAATATTGGCTTATGTGCAAGAAGCTGTGCTTTTTTAGTCAGGGGAATGGGCATCCCCCGAGGAATAACACTGATTGTTGGTGGCGGTTTTCATGGCAAATCAACAATGCTGGAGGCTTTGCAAATGGGCGTGTGGAACAAGATACCAGGGGACGGCCGGGAGTTCGTCATTACAGAGCCAAACGCAGTGAAGGTAAAGCAAATAGACAAAGCCGTCGTTGGATACTCCAGTAGTAGTACTTACTCTTACTTGCTACCTATTGCTGATGGGGCGCATGCAAGATACACGCAAATTCAACGTTTTGTCGCCAGCTGGCCCTGCGCCTTTTCGCAGATACGGGCGGAGGATGGGAGGGTCGTCACTTCTGTTGGTAAGCACATGCGGCTGCTTTCTTGTCACTAAATGTTTGAAGCAGCAGTGTGGCTCATTGCTGCGCGCTGTGAGCGTCTTGTGGTGTGTTCTCCAGATATTTCGCCCTTCATTAGCAACCTGCCATTTGGAAAGAGCACTGACGCGTTTTCATCTGCAGATGCGTCAGGCAGCACTTCTCAAGCCGCCAACATCATGGAGGCTTTGGAGTTCGGGGCAACAGCGCTGCTGATTGATGAGGACACATGCGCAACGAACTTTATGATCAGAGATTGCCGCATGCAGGCGCTTGTTGGTGAGAAAAGAGCCAAGACTAAGTACCACGTCGGTTGAAGAACTGATATTTAGACCTGCTTTGACCTGTTACTACGTAATATGAGTGCGTCTGCCTTCCCAGCCAAGGAGAAGGAGCCCATAACTCCTTTCCTGTTTAGAGTCAAACGGCTATTCACCGAGCTCGACATTTCCACTATCATGGTGATCGGCGGCAGTGGAGACTTCTTCGAGGTGGCTGATTTGGTTCTCCAGTTCGACAAATACCAAGCCTACTCGGTCACAAATCAAGCCAAAGCTATAGCTCAAGAGTTTGAAAACAGCAGTGCCGGAAAGGTACGTTTTGAACAGAAAGAGCGATGCGTAACAGCGGATGATGGGGCAGCCTCCCTACGTCACTATCTGCTCGAGGCAGGTCTTTGGCAACTAGGTACAACCCTACGACTAGCATTCTTATTTCCTAGCCTGAATATGATGCGCATTTAATAACTTGCTGTTCGCTGCTTGTGGTCTGTTGATATACTCCAGTTTCAGTTGCAAACAGCCCTAAGCCACGCCAATGTGCCCTTCGGCGCTGTGCGTGAACGGACTGTTGCCGAGCGTAAGTCATGCTGTGAAATTTAGTATTTTGTAGGATCATGAACTTTCTTTGCCACTAATGCTAAGTCCCTCAGAAGGCAAGGCTCGTCTAATTACAGGCGTGCTGCATGTTGTTACTACACAGATTGTCTACGGCCTAATGGCAAGGTCAAGGTAGGGGGCACGCGTTCAATTTCCTACGGCACCACAACTATTGACGTATCCGGCGTCGAGCAGCTGGCTGAGGCCTCGCAAACGAGAGCAATCGCATGCTTTATTCAACAACTGGCCAAGAACTACGAGCGCTTGAGGCAAGAGGGAAAGCGGTAGGCGACGCGCAGCCTGAACTGTACACCACAAGGCCGGGACTAGCTTCAAGCCTGGCAGTGTGAACGGTGCCACCTCTTGACTGTCTTCTGGAAATTTCGTGCAGCACTCTTCGACAAATGATAGAGGCGCAGTACAAAATGATTGTCCAGGCGTCTTCAGCAAGTAAGCAGTAGCCCCGCGCGTCTCTTGACAGAATGAGATCAAAGGCAAACACCGCAAATGACCACATCTTGATGTCATATTACGTTGTTTCTGGCTTTGTGAGCTGTGATTGCTGCTACAGATGACACTAAGTACCCTCGACTGGACTGGCTGAGCACGTGGGACCACCCCGTGGTAATTCTTCCGTAGCAGCCCACGCTGTCCCTAAGGCGTTATGTTCCGCAATCCCAACAAAATATACATAAATATATTTTCCTGTATATATAGCCACTATCCATTAATCCTTAAAGCGGGCTGGCGATAAGTGGCGTGTCTGCCTGAGGAGCTTCTGTTGCTGTGTTTGTTTTCGTGCTTTGTATCAGGGTGACTTGGCGCTGCCACGAGAGCTCGAGGTATGAAGTAGGGGAGTTGCACTTATATTTACGCTAAAAGGTGCCATTTTAGCGTTGCTTGCGCATTGAAGAGTCCGCTGGTCTTTAAGAAAAACGAGTGCTTTGCAGCAAATAGCAGGAAATTCAGTGACTTAAGTTTTCCTCTAATTTTGCATTAACTTAGGGTCTTTATGGTGGAAATGAATAGACATGCGTTTGCTTGTGGCTCTTTGCTGGCAGATTGGATTCGCGATCAGCCGTCTGCGGGGCTTGAGGATACGGGACACAGTCTGAGTCGCATGTATTTGAATATGTTTGCAACATTTGGCTGAGAAGTTCTTTCTCAGGAATTCCAGGCCACACTGTTTCGCGTGGCTGCTTGGGCGTCTGCGGATTACTGCTCCCTCATTGCTGCCTTTTTTCTGAATTCATTTACAGCGGATACACGTGGGAATCTTGCAGAGCGTTGTACTTGGCTGCGGCTTTCTGTACTTACGCTATAAGCGCCCGAGCCCTTTCAACTGTCTTTCTTTGAATTCCAATTTCGTGTCGAAGTTGGGCGATTCGTTGTTGGTCGTAGCCCATGCGCTCCTGAACGCAGCCGTAGTGCAGTTGCGGGTAGGTGAGAACAATAGTGGCAAGAAAGTCTTTTTTGATTAAGTTGAATTTTTTTCCACTAAGCAAATAGACGCAGCAATCCTTAGTTTATCCCTGCAGCACCTGTGGCGACATAGTCCTCTCGAGGTCTTCTTGGTTCTCGGAACTCATCATTTTGCTGAGTTCGTTTTCCGCTTGCTGAGAGAAGTTTCAAATGCTGAAGTTGAAAGGCCCTGAAGAATTAACAGCTAACCTTCTCTTTCTTGTGTTGAAGGCTCGCTGAGAAGTTTAACAGATAAATAATGCCAAATGGTATTTCATATTATCCAAGAGTGCGGCAGCCAGATCCCACCTGCTGGGCTGTCAATGCCCATTGCGATGTCCAGGACCCCCTGCGCCTCTGCCTTCTTTCTGGGGTCTCTGCAGCGGCCCTCATGAAGAGTTCAGCTTCACCAGAAGTTTGTATTCCCCTTACTCTTCTTCTTCAGGCTTAGGCGCGTCCACAACATAGACCCCTGCTCCCTTCAGAGCCTCTGCACTCGAGCACTTTGTTTGGCCCGCAAGGGCTGCAGCAGCCGTGGTAGGGGCCGCATACCTGGGTTGGCTGTGGCGAGTTCTCGGATCTGCATGCCGAGGCCCGCGAGCTTGAAAAACGGGTTTGCCTCCAACGCATTGCGCAGATCTGTTGGTCAGATCGATGAAACATGCAGCTTAGGGGTTTCGCTCACTGCAAAGATAAGGCAACTGTACCTTTGGATACGCTTTCCAGCTTGGTTGCTGCATTCAGTCCGTTGATTTCGTCCTAACTGTGAAGTGGGACAAACGCATTACCTGCAGAGTTGGCGAGGGGGTTGTTCTCGTTCCCTATGCTGTCTCATGAGCTCCCCTCGCCACTTATAATCCACAATATGCAATCTAAGTTACCCGCGGTTCGTCCCGCTGGCGCTGCTGTTTGGGGTAGAGCAGCTGGAGTTGCAACAGGAGCGGGCTGCATGCCTGTTGCTGCAGCAAGTCCGCCTGCGAGCGCATTTCTCGCTACTGTCCTTGCCAAGTCACCGATAATTCCCTCAGCGCTATTCATTTCGAAGCTGCCGAGAAAAACGAGAAGAAAAAGATTTATTACCATGGCTGATATGTCAACAGTTGCACTGCGGTGAAATACAGCAGCAGTAGCTGTGTGCGGAAACTGGAACCGTTCGCGACAGGATAGGATACAGCTGAAAGCTGAGGGTGCAGTTCATGAGGAAAGTTACTCCACGCTCTTCTTCATTTTATGTTATAACTTCTTCCCAAGAGTATCAGCGGATGCTTGTTTCAACAAATATTTCTTCTCATGCATTTCTGGTGTATTGTGCGTGCGCTTGAAGGGAAATTCAAATTCCACCTACACGTGAATGGGACCAATGCTCCCCCGCCCAGTCATCCTGCTGAGTTTCAAATCTTCGTAGCAAGAAACAACGCAAAAATGATCTAGAAGGAAAATACTCGTTGCCGTATCTGTTCAAAAATGATGCAGTGAGGTCGCGCATGGCAACCACCGTAAGGCGAAGCATTCATGAACGGGTGTTGTCCATGCTAGATTTAGACAGGAAAAGCCCACTATCGTTGATACATAAACTTTTATTGCGTTTCGCACTCTACTTTGAAATGCTCAACAAGTACGACTGGCAATGTGGAGGAGCTCATTTCGTTCACCGGAACACTTCAAAAATGGCTTTGTTCAGGTGCCTTCTAAACAGCTGCCTCAACCCATATGTCTGTGGTCTTGCATGCCGTTTCCCCGCATTCTCAGCTCCCTGTGCCCCTAAAACGATGACTGTCGCAGAAGCAAAGCAGCTGCACAGGGGACTGACACAGTAGAGGTGCTAGTTGGGTTGGTCCTTATCCACTGGGAAAACGTGATCGAAAATCTGCCTCGGAGAGCCGCAACAAAACGGGACAGTGATCGGAGCCGAAGAAGTGCCTCTGCAATACGCATCATTCCACCGCACAAAGCGTTCACAATTAGTCATCTGAAGTCTTCATTGCTTAGAACATCCACTGAAACCTAAAGAAAGCCTTGCCCGCTGTATCCTGGCTGTTTGAAAATGAGGCAAATTCACTTTTAAAATCAGATTCGAATTTCGAGGCTGCGCACCCTTGGGAAAGCTTTGCCGACGATTTCAATAGAAGTGACGCAAGGCAGCAGCTCCTCGCTGGCAAACTGAAGCCGCAAAACGAGCAAGTTCAGCAGCTCGTTAGAAAAGTATACAGATAACATGTATAGGCTTGCACTGTCCTTTAAATCCATGCTCGATTTTCATCTTTTCCATCAACTTGTCAAGAAAAAAGACGCAAAAGAAAGGCGCTGCTCACCGCGTGGTCAAGGCGCATGGCGCGTGCACTCGAAGGGCTCCAGTCTTCGCTGTATCCTGTGGCGCCAACCCCTCAAACTGATTAAAACTATTCCACTTAGCCCTAAGTGTTCATCACTAATACAGTGCAAGTGGTTTTGCTCGAGATCAGTTGCAGAAACAGAAGAAGCCCCAAACTGACCCAAACTATTCCATTTTGCCCTATGTGGACAGTGCAAGTGGCTTCGCTCGAAATCATTTGCAGAAACAGGAAGGGCCCCAAACTCAGTTAAACTATCCCATTTAGCCCCATAAGCTAGTCGCTAATACATTGCAAGTGAATTCGCCCAAGATCACTTGCAGAGACAGAAAGTTCCCCGAAGAGAATTAAATTATTCCATTTATTCCTATGTGCTCGTCGCTAATACCCTGCAAGTGGTTTCGCTCAAGATCATTTGCAGAAACAAAGAAACTGCGCGACTCCGTGCCAAAACACATCCACGTACCTCTCCACGTGTAGGCCGCGTGCTGAACAGGTGGTGGGGTGGTTCTGGGGTTGCGTTGTCTGTACACGTCAACCAGCTTCCTATATTTTCCAAACAATCATTCACAGCGAAAACATGCAAATAGGTGCTGAACAACCGCATGATTCATAGGACGTTATATGGGGCTCAGCAGCCTATATGGACATTTTGTGAATATTCAAGAAAGCGACACTTCACACGTCAAGCGTCACTTCAGCTGCCATAGTTGAGATTCCAATATTAGCGCTAAAGGGCTACATACCCTGCACGCAGTATGCCCTCCAACCTGTGCCGTTCTGCGTCTGTGCATCCTGGCTGCCCCACATCCTCCTGCACGGCATCCGCATAATTCAATTTGCACTCTTTAACCAGCACAAAGATGCATTTACAAACGAACCGGGGCCATTTGCTACAGCTAAAATATGCTGTTAATCTCGCAGGAAGCGCTAGCCCTCACCGGTTTCAAATTTGGGTCGGGCTGATGTGCACTTCTGAATACCTTCGGATGCGAAAGATCCGCGTCTGACGGTGCGCTGTACGTGACAAAAGGTGCGCTCACAAGCGATACAAAAGAATGAGTTCGCAAACACAAAAATGCGCAAGCGAGAAAAAACAAAAAAGAGTAAACACAACAAAAGCGCAAACAGAAAACTGAAACGCACAAACGCCAAACTTGACTCGCAAATGAGCTGTCCTTATTATATCACGAGTGCTTAATTGTTGCAGGGACCCGTCCCAGCATAACAGTCACGTGCCACGCGATCAACTGCCAAGCAAGTCTTGGAAGCTGAGCCATGCCGAGCAACGCTGAGCGCTATGTAGAACAAATGCAGCTGCAGACTAAACCACAATGCGTGCTCATAAGGATTTACTGTCATAAAGACCCATTATGGGGCCTCACCAATTTATGTCGCCCATCCAGATAAGCGGCTTCTTCTCTGGCAAAAACGCAAAAGTGCAAGGGAATACAGAAGGGGCCTTAACAGTAACGCGGAAGCACTAGCGATTGCAATTGATAGATAGTTGGTCAGACTTCTGCATATACGGGACCGAAATGAAGTCCCAGCAGAGTAAAATCTATGGCTATAAACCAATTTGCGATTAGCTGCGCCGTATCATAACAAAAAGGGAAGTAAACTAAAAGTGGGCAGGCTCATTAAACAACGATCGGGTGGGCTGCCTCACGCCGCTCCATAAACTTAAGCAGCGCATCATCCCACTGTCTCCGTCTTTGAAAGCTAGTTTGGGTCCATCCATTATTTGGAGAATATCTGAAATCAAAAGAAAGCGAAATTGCCCGCCCGTAACCAACCGCCACAAATGCGTGTCAAGTCTACGTTCGTCCGTCACAGCAGCTGGGCACCACTATTGCAGCACCAGGGATGGGGGGTCTCACAACTAAACCAAATGGAGGGAAAAGCACAACTGATTTCTGCTGGAGCCAGAAGAAGTGTTCAGGCTGGTGACTGACGTGGTGAGGAACGCGAGACGGCCGAAATCAGCAATGATGACTCTTCCTTCCTGCCACCCAGCGTAATGCAAATACTGCTACTCCAACCACTTCTGCGCCCAGCCCAGAAAGGCTAAGCCTTAGCAAGGAGGGGAAGGAAAGGAGGAGATTGCTGGAAACCCAGAACTCAGCAACTCTTACTGCGTGGTGGATGTCTGGGTCCTCTTCGTCCAAATTGAACCGAAGTGCAGCCACCTGGAGCATATTGCCGGCCGAAACAAAAGACGTTGCATTACGTAAGCCACTGCTACGCATGGATATTGGCATGGCTGCCAAACTCCACAAAGGAAAGGATGTGTCAGAATTTTCCAGAAATTGATGTCCCGACGGATCAGCAAGGCAAGTGCGGGCAACGGCCAATGAAGATCTCTCAGTTCAGCAGCATCTGTTACGTGTGCAACGAAAAGGCATTCATATCTTGCTGACCTTGAGGTGCCGTCTGAGTAGCAAGAACTGCCCTGTGAAAACACAGCCCGCAGCACAAAGCAGAGCTCATGTGCAGCCCACGTTGCATTTCCCTAAATTTGCAAACGCTGGCCCAGGCCTGGGCTTACCACTGTATTTCCAGTCCGCCAGCGACATCAATACGTTGTAGTCAGGGAAAGCAGCCAAGGCCTCGCGCAGACAAGAGCCAACTGCCTGTGTTTCCCTCTTTTCCGCCGCTGACGCAGACGCTGCGGGCTCGACTCGGACAGCCCCTCTATCCCTGGGCTTCCCATCGCCCTTGCGGCACCCTATGACTCAGAAACATCGTTACATTGCAAGTGTTAGCTCGCAGGAGGGCTATGAACTTGAATGTCTGTTCGCTACAGAGAACGCACACTGTTTGCTGCCTGAGTCTGCGCACCTGCAGGTCCCATTGCCGGAAGCCTTATTTCTTGCAGGCAGATAACGTCCTGAGGATGATCACATAGAACAGGTGGAATCTTGGCAGTTTGAAACACTACTCAGGGCAAAGCGGCTACAAATAGTGAACTAATGAGTAAACACTGCATGCAGACGCTCACCGGCTTGACTTCATTCGCATATTTTGCAAACTGCACCCACTGGGAGGCGCGGACCCGAGGCATGAGACCATTGGCGTTCCAAGTGAGGAAAGAAACGGGAGTCGGGTCCGCAGCGAGGACTGGGCTGAGCTCTATCACGGAGCTACGAATAACTGAGGATGGATCAGGTGTTGGCTCTTCGCGTAAGCCGAGTAGGGAAGCCGGCCGCTTAACCTTTGTGGCTCCATTATCACGTGTAGGTCTGGTGTCTCGGCTGCGCTTCCGGCTGTCACCTTGGCTACTGATGCTGTTCCCCTCTTTCTCTGCTCGATTTTCCTCCTTATTATCCTCTATGTTGATCACTTCTACCGGCGGAGAGGCGCTTGTCAATGGCTGCGACTGGGACGCAGCAGCAGCGCCTGCTGAAGCGGCCTTCGGCTTCGCTGTCGGCAGGGCTTTTCTAGGCAGCACCATGGTGGTCAGAGGCACAAACTGGCTGCGCATGTGTGAGGCTTGCTCGCTGGCTTCTTCAAGAGAATACTCGTCGGCAGTATTTGAGCAGAGCGCAGTGAGATTTGCACCAAGAACCGCGCGTGAAGAAGGGCCACGCCGTGGCACTGCATGGGAAACCAGTCGCCAAGTATACAGGCTTCCAACAGATCTACAAGGATCTACTGCGCACACGTAAGCAGCTGCCTGCAGACCTGATATGTAAACCAAGGATCGTAAGCAGCAGAACGCGCAAGGGGGGAGCATTGAACCAACTTTTGGAATGTCTTTTGGCCTGATTAAAAGACATCTGATGGCCAATATTAGCTATTTAAAAGTTTCATTTTTAGGTATCACTAAGTGCAACGATGGAACTGCATCAGTCTGGTAACCCCGCTCCCATCTTCCGAGTAGGCGCTCGATGCGGTACAGCCAGCTTGCTGCCAGTACTTGGAAACTCATCAATATTAGTGAACACTCCCTTCCATATAAGCTCCAAATAATAAATTATGCTACGGGTGCGCATTCCAGAGCAACAGGAGGGTTCGGATTTGTAGGTTTCCGTTAGAAGGGTTCTCTCCGGCGCAACATTCGACTCTCAATCTAGTTGCCAGGCTGCGTCGCTGCAAATCATCTGTTCGGCTAATCCCCTGCTACCTCACACAAGAAAAGCTAATTTTATCTCGCAGTTCCTTTGTATCTGCCTCTACAATGTGCATACATTTCCTCCCCTCCCTGAACAGCTACTGTTGTGCATCCGCATCTCGGGGGAGGAACGATTGTCATTAGGCTGTTACCCACCACTGGAGGACCTATGACGCATTTTATATGACCCGCTAACTCACAGTGATAGCACGTGAGGTCGCCCCCAAGCCTCAGCCCTCTGTTGACCCCACAGCGGGTCACTCCTACGCGTAGGGAATAGGGGAGTCTCCACAGAAGGCAAGCTATGCTGTTCCCAGCAGGGCCAACTATAATGTTAACTATAGGCCTACATGTATAATCCTTGCGCAGAAGAGCGGGGACTACTACTGCGTTTACCGTATGCAACTTGAATTGAAAAAAAAGAGCCTCATCTAACTCCACGTTCGCAAGGCAAGGTTCACTTCAATCCAGATAAGCAGGCACCCAAAAGGCGCACACTTAACGGACGAACAAATTTCAGTGAAAAGTGCTTCTAAAGAGCCTCCGTAAAACAGTGGCTTCGCCCAAATATTTTGTCATTACTGAGTGACACATGCAAGTCATGCTTCGAGGAGCTATGAAGGCCATGCAGTTATTTGCACACTTCTTTTGCAGTATGCTAGTTGTTGAAGACCCGCCTGTGGTGGCACTTAGTGCATTCGTACATGACTGTCATACCCTCGTCTGCACTGCGGGCCTGGAAAGTTGAAAAGAAAGCCTCATCATGTCCGCACCGTTCACATATTTCCCTGCATGTGGTTTTGTTGCCTCCGTCTCCTGCTGACAACATAATCTTCAGGTGGTGCTGCAGCAGCTGCTGCTCAAACTCAGCCCCTAGGAACCGCTGCTGCCACGACTGCTTGCTGACGGACCCAAAGTTGTAGCACCTGCGGCTGCCGTACATATAAATGGCCCCAGAAGCACTTCCTGGCTTCGCGTTGGCTCCGGATTCCATGCGTTCAACAAGGGACTCGCTTTCATCTGATGAATGCAGCGGCGCAATGTCGTGCCCGCAGCAGCGGCAGCGCAGTACGGCTTTCTCTGCAGCTGTTGCCAGCGCCTTGGCGCTGCATTCTTTTGCTGCAGCAGCAGCAGCAGCACAAGCCTCGTCCGCTGCAGCGACAAGGTCTCTGCGAAGTTCAACTGGGGCGCCACAATTCAGGCACCCCAACGCAACCAACCAATCGAAGCAAACGCCCTGTTTCGACGTGATAGAGCAGCTGCTGGTGACGCTGCGTCCGCCTTCCAGCTCACTGTCGGGGTTTTCGCTTCCTCCTATCCTTGCAAGCTTCCCCGGGGATTCATACTTGAAACGGGGGGCACCTGGCAAGTAGGCGGCGTCTCCTTTGACCTTGTGGCCCAAAACAAGGAACTCCACGCAGTCATCTAGCTGCTGCAGGTCTTGTTTTAGAATTGTGTTGCAGGCATCTGCATCGCCAAGGGGTACGCACAGCGCCTCCGCTGAGCGCGCCAGACTGATTGCCTTGGCACTCGGCGCCTCCATAGCTCTTTGTGGACTAGCCTCCCATGAGGATACTGGTTTTTGTCTAATTTCAAGGCTTTTCCCGATTAAGAAAGGGTATTGTAGGCGTCGAATGCTCAGAAGTCCCGTTTTAAGACAAGGGTGGAGTCAGAGGAGGCTCAGCCAGCGGTCGATGATCAATGTATGTGACCACCTGGGAGTAGTTCCGTGCAGCTTCGACCTAATTCCCACAAAATTCTGTGTACTGGCACTAAATGATGAATAATCAATGGTCAGAGGAAGTAGGATGAGGATTGGGCACCGAAGCAAGTCGTATCTTGGCACGAGGGCCCCACAGGGCCCATGCAGACTCACTGCCGACAACGGAACCTGGGGGTTCCAGCAAAAGGAAATTGGGCACAAGGAAACAAGTAATAAGTTTTCACAAGTGAAAAAAAAATATCCCAACAGAGGTATGGCTTTAGAGTCATCTTGTGCAGCTGAGAGGAGCGCTTAGCAAATTTGTCCTTACAACAGCAACAGATAACTCCATCAACGAAACCAATGCGCAGTAATAAATTTTGGATCTCTATTCACCACTAGCACTAAGAATGAAAAAAATAAAGGAGTAAGACAGCCACTGCGTTTGTGGCCGTGGGCGGAACGAAGCAGCTGATTTGACGGCCAGTGTTGTCATTTCAGCGCATACGTCGGTTGAACCCCCCATTGAGATGTTACGAATATTGTTGTAGGAATGATGACTTGGAAAATGCCATTACGCAGAGCTGCCTGCCATCTACAGAGATGAACTGCTTCGGGGCTTCTACACACTTCACCGCTGTTGGGTCCACTCCTGGTGTTTCATGTTCGTACTGCGTGCCCCCTAGATTCCATAGCGAGCTGACGCTGACAAATTGCATCAGCAAAGCGATGAGGTACGAGCAAGCAGGCAAGCAGAAGATACTTTGCGTGCGTTTGTATCTCTCATCTGTCGCAGCTACAGCTGTTATTGTGCTTCGGGGAGGCCAACGGCTGCTACTAACAAATTCGCATCAGGACGCGCTGCTTCTATACCCCACTTTCAAAATTTGACAGAAGAGAAAAACGCGTTCCCCCTTCAAACAACAACTAGCCAGTGGCACATAACTCATTACGAGTTGCGACAATGATGACTGTCGTCTCAATTTGTGCGTTGTGCAGTTGAATAGCAATTTCCTCTGCCTGTAGGTGGAACAAACCCTTCAAAACGCATGCATTTAAGTCAATGTAATGTATACTTGCAGTGCAGCAAGTCCATCCTTCTCTAGAAGAATACATCACACACCACATACACCGCCTGAAGCACCCGACGCAGTCACGCGTACCCATGGCCACGCAACAAAGCCCAGCGCACTCCCAAAACCCAAGGACCCTGGGCTGCACCGCAAGCTCTTGTTAAAACTTTATGGATAAAGTGCACGCACAAAATCACTGTGCAGCCACAACGCCACCACCGCACGGCAGGGAAGCATCAACGCACCAAAATCCCTAACCCAGCTCCAAAACGGCTTTCGCCGATGCAAGCTGCACAGCGTCCGTCTCTCCTTCTGTAGTGCATGCATCTTTTGCCCTTAAGTGCAACGTGGCGTTCCTTCGGAGGCAGTTTCAGCAAATGTTCGATCTAGATGTCATCCACAATAGGCGCCATCTTCGCCCCCGTGTTTAGTGTTGCGTTCATGTCAGCTGCCACGGTGTGTGTGTGTAGACGCAGTTGGGCACTGTCTACAGGCGCATGCATGCGTGCATGCATGCATGTATCCAAACCAGCGGGTGCAAGAGACTCCATGAAACCGCTCGACGCTGCGATCCTTCAGATGCAGCTCATGCTTGTTGGGGCTCTCCCTGGTACAACAGGCGAGACGATAAGATGTGGCTTGAGCTGTGCACTTGTCCATGCATCCATGCAAGCAAAGATGCTTGCCCGTATGAGCGCATGAACATGGCACGAGCCTACGGCTAACTGCTGCTTGACTGCAGGGGTCCAAGCACGTAGGACCACACGAGGCGTCCGGCGACCATTGTTCAGGAAAGTCAAACTCACTCGCGCGACTTTTAACCTGAGGTTATCACTCTTCGTTCACCTGAAAGTCCGCCTCTTCTTCTTCGTCTTCATCTGCAGCAAGAGACCAAAATGCACAGATGCTTCTTCTATTCCAACAGCATGCAGTGACTGAGTATTCGGAGTAGGTCTTTGTGCTTAACCGTATCAAAATAAAGGTATAAGGCTTTAGGCCAGAAATACCGTAAAATGACACCATTGCTCCCTATTCAATTACGCATTTGTTCGTGCGTGAAACTGCAGACTAGGTACCTTCTTGATTCGTCCTCTTCCGTTCTGTTCCTTGAAATGCTTCCAGCTGCCTTGTCAGATATTCGTTTGCAGTTCTGAGTCCTTCAATTTCCTTCTCTGCCGTCTCTAGACGTTTCATCAACGCATCTACTCTGCGTATGGCTCTGCCGACCCCTTCGCTTTGAGAGTCAAAGCTAAGGTTGATGACTTCGCTCATGCTTTCCACTTGGTTGCGGAGTGCAGCGAAACTCACATACGTGATCAACGGAGACATGCGATACACATCGGATGAAACAGCGCCAACTCCTGTCTCGGTGTCGTGAGCTCCAAACGAAAAGACAGTGCGAAAAGGCGAAATCAGTACCAAGTGAGTTAGCGAAATTGTCGACCTCATCCCGCACAGTTCCACGCTGAACCAACAGTTTGCCTGCAGGTCGTATGTGTGCATGTCTGCACCAGATATACACTCACAAACTCAAGCAAGTAAAGGCTGGTTGTGGGACCTGTCGATGCGTCATCGAGTAGCACCGTATGCATGAAGACGCACTTACATATTGTTACGCGAGCACACTCTGTTCACGTTTGGGTAACGTGCAATAGTTACATGCGTAGCATACAAGAAATAGAAGTAGATTCTTTCCGTAGAGGCAGGTGAAGGGTGTATTTGACCGAGCTCTGTCGAGGCTCAGAGTTTACACTATATAAATCCTAGGTGGGCTTCTCACAATTCTTCATCAAACGCCTCAGCAGCTACAGTTTCCCTTCCTCCGCACTAATTAATGGCAGCTCGTTCGACCACAAGTATGCAACGACTTCAAAGCCTCACCGGAAAGAACATAGTTAGAAATCCAGCCGCCGCTGTATCCCCCGCTGATTATGACCCAGTTTGAATCGAACACGCATGAGCTATGCCTGAAAGGACAAAAATTATAAAGGAGGAGGGTATGCATAAACGCCGGAGCAAGCATCACTTGTGTTTGCATGCGTAGCATATGCATCCATATATATTTGCGCCTATGTCGCCTGATACAGCGCGTGAAGTTAAAATCGATTCAACGGTAGTTCAACGCAGCAGCTGCCTCACCCGAAACGCGGAGCTGGTGCGTTCCCTGCAAATGCCGTAACATGTTTCCACTTGCATGTTTTTACGGAAAAGATCCAAACCTCGTTTGATGAAACGCCTCGCCCTGAACCAAAACAGAAAGTGGACGAAAACACTCATCAACGCAGCAGCACACTCCCATAATTATCTTCAGAATAAAGGAACTTTTGGCTTTCTTCGATTTTGCATTGGCTTTCTTCGATTCTACGCAACTGGGAATACTAGAGGAAGGTGACTTAGACGAAGAAACACCTGTAGTATCGCCTCCAAAGAAGAACAAGCAGGGTTCTTTGTGTTTCTTGTGCACCCACGCAGAGGCTGAGTGGCCGCAGCGAGCTGACATGGGTTCGGTTGATTTGTCGTAGCGAACTTGAGACCATTCCTCACCGTCCCACATCCACATGTCGTTCAAAACATTGTCGCCACTCAGGCCTTTCACAACGCAAACACAAGTCCAAGTCCACCAGGTATTGACTACTGCAGCAATGGCTCAATACTTCTTCGAATAAATTAGTAGTTACGCTGGGCAGTCTTCTAAATATCGGATTTGCCTATTTGTGAGACACGGATGCGTTCCACTAAGACCACTGTTGCACGAGTCAGCCCCTGTGCCTCAAGAATATCGTTTTTATGCGTTATAGGCGCAGGAACACGGGACACATCTTTTACCTCCATGGACAAACACCTTTTCAAAGACCACAGAGACGTGCGAACTCCTCTTTGGGGGCTTCTTAATACCTCCCACTGCTGTCCACGTTCGCGACCCAGGGTCGTAAAGGCTCGCCGTGGCGATGTCCCCCCCCGGGCCTCTGCCTCCGAATAAAAATATATGTTCTCTATCTGAAAAGCAGAATGAACATGCTTAAGATTCGCGATGTTGCTGTATTTTGTGTAGGGAGCGCCAATGCCACGCACCCACATGTTACGCTCCTTTGCATGAAAAATACATTGGGGAGGAACCTGTCTACAGTTTGCCGAGTTGGCAGACAAAAAAAAGATTGGCAGTGTATCCCAGTTGACTGCAGCTACGCAAACAAGCAGGTAGAGCCAAAGAAGAAGAGCATGTCTTTTCCGAAGAGGCAGGAAAGAAAACTCACTGGTTGTGGGTTTCACCCAGTTCACCATCGTGGCTCCAGTGCGGGGTGTGGGAATCTGGCCTTTGACTTTCTGTTCAGAATCAGCAATAGCTCATGCACACACAAAACCAAGCATGCAGGTCAAACCAGCGGCAAATGAAGAATTGTAGCTGCACAAATCTCACGAAAAAGAGTATCGAGCAGAGATTATGAAGTAAGGAACAATATAAGCTAAACGCAGCAACAGTCTCGCACTGAAGCAGATTCAGCAGGAGACGGCACCTGGATGAGGCACTCAGTCAGACATCACTGTTCGGCAGTTTGTGGTCCGGATACACACATTTAATTGGCTTCCAAGGATCTGGGTTTCTGTTCATACCGCTTTATTTACTAAGCCACCGTTGTCTATGCACTTCATCTTATTGCAGTTACGTTTATGCGAGCATTGCATTAAACATTGTAAGCCGACCTTCATGGGTTCGAACGCGTTTAGCCCAGGTATGTATCTGATGAAGTCGTTTAGGAACTGGCCTTCTGCGTCCTGCCCTCCAAATATGAGAACATCTCCTCCCCCCGCAGCACAGGAGTGTCCTTGGCGGGGAACAAAGCATTGGCTGTCATGTATAATTTGTGTCAGCTGAAACGAGGGGGGAGAGAAGAAAGCCGTATTGGGCCCTGTGCTCTCGATGGGCTCATCGTCGTCGTGCTCCACCCTTCTCGGATGGGACTTTGACTTCTTGCCAGCACTCAGTGAGTGAATAATCTTGTCTTTGCTCATTTTTAACTGCTGCTTCGCCTTCTGCATGCGGTCGTTGGACTTGCTAGCCCGCCGCTCGCCACCCTCTGACCGCGGCGTGTCATCTCTGCTCTCCACGGAGAAAGAGTCTGAGCCGTCCCCGACGGGAATAATTTCTTCTTGTTTGTCCATCGTTGCTTTGTGGCGACGAGGCAAAGACGAGGCGGGGTGGTGGGGTTGAAAAGGAAACAGCCGGGAATGTTGCTATGGCCGGGGAGCGCCGTTACAGAAAAATAACGCCAAAAAGTCGCCAAAGAAACAATTCAAAACGAGAAAAAGAAGAGTCAAGATGCAAGTATACGGAGAGCTGCAATGGGGCCAGAGGCACGCCGGAGAAGCTGCTGGCTCCACACAAAAGAAAATGCAGCAAACGAGAATTTTGTAATACTACAGCAGCGTGCAGTTCAAAAAGCAAAACATTGAAAGCTACTTCGTCAAGGCTTTAGACCCCAAGGCAATCGTCCAGGTCCAGGGGCAAAGCCGCTGGCGCTTCTTATGCCCTCGTAGTGCTTCTGCTCCTCCTGCCCTCGGTAGTGCTGCTGTAGCTGTCGTTGCGGCTTGCGAGACTATAAAGGGTGGAGATGCTGCACTCGACATACTGATAATCTTTCCCTGCATGAAAAATGCAGCTGAATCGTTTGCTAGGCTGAGTGGCCAAGCAACCGCCTCCCACGCAGTGTCCCTTGAAGCGCCTCCAGAGCCAAACTCGTGTAGGCCTGCTCACTGGGAAGTTGCTGCTGTTGTTTCAGCTGCTGCTACTGCTGCGGGCGATCCTCTATTGGCCTTGACCAATGGATTTTCGGAGGCAGGAGAAACACAGGTGACAAGGGTGAGTCCGTCCTCCGAAGGCGGCTCATGAAACCTGTCACTGAGTGGTGCATTGGATCTTGAAAGTCTCTCCCAGGTGCATGCGTGCGAGCAGCAGCAGAGGCACACGGCAAATGCTCATGGAGCAGCAGCGGCAGCACGAGTAGCTCCAGTTGCTGTAGTTCGGGCGGGAGCAGGGCCTGCACAAACGGCCCTCGACCACGTGCTTCTGTAATATACTCAAAGAGCGCCACAATAAAACTCCGAGTAGGCCGGTGGCTGGCTTTAGAGCTCCGTTACCTCCTGCCGATGGTTCTGCTGCAGGGCTAGGCGCCGCAGCGCGGCTCTGGAAGTGCAAACAGGAGCCGACAGTGGCTCATATGGATGTGTGGGAGTATCTGTATTTCATCTTTGACAAATAATAATGAAAGGGCGGCTCTTTCGCGGTGGAAAGCCAAAACGGTAGCAGCTACAGCGGGAGCCGCCACTGGTGCTGGGATGAAGCCTGAATGAATTTGCCGTTGGTTCTGAGAGACCAGTTGACACGAAACAGTAGAGCTAGAAGCTAAGAATGTAGCATTGTTGTGGTTTGAGAGCTGAAACCCAAGAACACCGTTGCGTCACAGTGACGGCCGACCCAGGCCCAGGCCTCAGCACTGCCTGCCTCGCTGCATGCAGATAAAAGCTCCCGACAATGCTGCAAATCGCCATTCACATACGTTTAGCTTTGCTTTTAATGAGAAGAAGCTTTGAAACCATTTCGAAATAGCTATTGGAGGCTGGCCATTGCACGCTGCTCGCCGCGTCGGTCGGTTGGCACGGCGAGCTCCTTCTTCTGCTATCAATCAAAGTTGAGAAGCGCACAAGGAGCCTCCTGAGCTCATCTTAAATGTTTTTTAAAGCTTTCATTTACTCTAGGTACTTTTTAACCAGCTTTTACAGGCAGTCCCACCGAATTTTAGAGTTGGCGTTTCCTGGTCCTTAACTCGCGCGAGCGAAAAGTCAGTAACGCCGAACATGAACATGCAATAGTATTACAGTATTAATGAGTGAACCTTTTATTTCTTTTGAAAGGATATTTATTTAGCTTCTTTCTAGCTGCACCGCCTTATGCCTGCTGCAATCCAGCGTTTTGACGCAGGACCGGTGCAGAAGACCGCAACAGTGTAGCACAGCAGCATGTTACGTTGGGCTTGACGTGAAATATGCAAGATCCGAGCAGTTCACTAACTCTAAAAGACACTAAGATTTCTAGTGCTTGGCTAATACCAGTTGAGTAATTTGAACTGGTCAGAAATAACAAGCGCTGCAAAGCACGAATCAAAAGAAAGAAGAAACACAGCATTGTTGGCTCGAAGCATGAATTGAGCATTTGGAGTCCTCTGTACCAAGCTGCTGCTACTTGATTAGTGGCTCGCCTGGCCTTTCTGAATGGGCAGAAGTAAGGAGATCCTTTGAGCCTAGCGGCCTAAGTCAGAGTATTACGCTACCCTACTCCTTTCCTTCTCCGTCACACACCCTGCTGTGGCTAATCAAGGCCAGCAGGCTAGTATCGATGCCTACATAACAAACTAAGAAAACCTGTGCAACTTACTCTTCTTCCTCCTTTCTAGCAAGTTGTTGGAGCTGCATGCATACGGCTGGACACTTCTGACGTTACTTACCGCTTTCAGGAACCCGCTTTCAGTGAGGGGCCATGCTGCTTAAATGAGCCTACAAAGAAGCCACTACAGCGAAGATAGATTCTCAAGTTGTTCCAGGGGGGCAATTTTATTTTCCAGTTGATCTAAAGCAAATGCAGAGCTAGGCCAATGCAGATTCAGTAGGAAAAACACAAAAATATCACAGAAAAACGAAAAAAATGTTTGAATATTCCCGAAAACCAGGCCAGAATAATGGCCTTAATGTGCTGCACTTTCCTTTCAATATTCGATGCCGTGTGTCGGCTGTAAATGTCGACTTAATAAACGACTGCCACTTGCGTCAAGCTGTCAAGTACCCATGATCAGGTGAACACGAGCAGCTCCTCTGTCTTTCAAAACTGTTATTTTCGCCGAAGTTTTTCCAACTATGAGAGGATCTCGGGCCCTGTCTAATGCTCTCTTGAGCAAAGAGGCGCAGCTGCAAATGTGTTTTTCTATTTGATCAGTAACACTGCTGTCGTGATTGGCGAACCCACAGTAAACTTTTCCTGCAAATTCCGATAGGAAGAGCAGCTTCTTGTTGCTTTGAAACTCTGTTTCCCCCAGGGACCCAATGGGCTTCGAAACTAAAGCATGCACCAAATTCACTCCATTGTGACACGGTGCTTGTTCGCTTTTTGTCAAACTGGCGACATTTGTGTTTTCATTTGTTGCACAAATGCATTGGGACTAAATTACACGTAGCGCTGCAAAATAAATGCATTTTGCACGTAACGCTCCCGTCTTTTTCAAATCCATGTAGCTCTAACGGACCACGCGGGCAACTAAAGCGAGTGCTGCTGTTGCAATTTTTCCCGATGCGAATTTATATATGTCGTCGTTTGTCTTTCGCCCTGCTGCAGTGTGTGCTCTTCCAGAATTCCCAGTTACTGCTACTGCGTGTCCATCTCCAAATCTCGCGGGTTTCCGTCCTATGAGAAATGAACCCTGGATTGTCTCTGCGTCTGCGTCGAAGGCAGCGTAGACTGCTTCCTCTGCCCCTTCAGCAGCTGAGAAGGGAGCCCTGTTGCTGCCAGACGGAGTCCGGCACCAGCCTACGAAAAAGAATTATTTTATATTAAAACGTAATTAAGGAAGGGCTACGCCTCAATTTGCATGCAGTTCTGCAAACAGAACTACTCTGTAGGGCAACTCCACACAAACTACGAGCATCAGCGAATCACACAAGGCCGCGAAAGGGGAAGACTGTCTCGCTTGCCGCCAGCAGTAAACTACATCGTTGTCATTGTTCTACTAAGCAGGGTACTACTGCCTTACCCGGAGAAAAAGAACAGGCCGTAACACGCATTGCAGGATCTCGTGAACTCCACTTCAGCTGATTTCCCAAGTACTGAGTCAGGGCGATTCGCGAAGCCTAAGGGCGAGTCAGAAAGAATCACGCAGAAGCCACTGAGTTTTTCAAGGGGGCATAACAAGTCGGGGAATATGGAGGCGCGAGAAACCGCAGAAAGTAAACGGGGCCTGCAGTGTCAGCTAAATGACCTGACTGAATTCGGCGAAAGCTGCAGTGTCAGCTTGCCTGAGCAAAGGGATAGGCCAATGCATCATGCACTCGCTTGCCTCCTGCACTTGTAGCGCAAATTTCCTTAACAAAACCGTCAGCAACACCGTCAATGTCCTGCAAATAAACCCAGAGTCTCAGTATGCATTGAGAACTCGAATGAGAAAAATAGAAAAATCAGACTTAATACAGAGGAACAGCTATTCAAATTATAAGCAGCAGACAGAAACTTGCATCTTCTGTGGAGGTTTCGCTGAAGAGTTTCGTGAAAGTCTCATTGTTCATCCAGCGAATAGCGAGCTCGGCAAGGCCGGATGCCGCAACGACAATGCGGCCGCCGGGAGCCATGAGAGGAAGCAGCGTGAATGTCACCTGAATAAGAAAATAAGAAGCATGCAAATGCAAAATTCGAAACTAAAAAGCATGCGAATGCAGAATTAAAAAACAAGAAGCATGCAAATGCAAATAGGGCATCGATTGAAAAACGGGCAGGACGGCGCGTGTGCCTTCTGCGTTGCAGAAGCATGGAAAAACCTGTCTTCAGAAGAGGTTTTTGCTGCAGTGCACTAACCAGTTTGGCATCGTAGTAGTTTACGTTCATTACTGTCTCTGTGTCGCCCTTGCAGCCCAATTCAGCGGCTGAGGGAAGCATGCCTGAGCAGCAGCAGAAGAAGCAGCAGCGCAAACGTTTTCTAAAGATTGCTTCTTCACAATCCCCTTCCCTGAAACTTGCTTATTGCCCTAATTATTGGGATTGACGAGAGCAAACTGTGAGTCTATTTACATTGCCAAGGGATTGATTGATTAAAGCTTTAGAAGGCGAAGCAGGCCCAACTGGAATGAAAAGGTGAACATCCCAGCCTTCTCTGCTTTCTCTCTGATTACCTGCATTGTTGATCAAGATATCGATGTTTTCGAACTGTTCCTTGAAATGCTGGCAGAAGGCCATCAGGCTGTCCTTGTTGGATGCATCGAGTTGATGGTATCCTACGCGAACTGTCGGGTGGCGCAGCAGCTCCAGACTTGTCTGAGCACATTAGGCAAGAAAATTCATTCTGCCACAGTTTTGGCCCCTAGCTTGGGGGTAGCTCGGGAATGCAGCCCAGTCTCGCTGCTGATAA